GGAATGATCCAATTTGATGACAAATTAGAGAATTTTAAAAAGCTACACCGATCTCGTTAACTCCGAGCCTGAATGGCTTACAATACAGTTACATATCTGGCCCGGAAACAAACGCGTTTCAATGGCAATTACACGTGACCAATTATACAAACTGCAACCCCGTCGGTTATTTAACGCGACCCCTGTACACGCTTCAACAGTGCGCAACCCTCGTCGCGTGCGTTTAATTGTCGCATCTTCGGAACTGCAGCGAACAGTGATTGCATTCGGACAGAAAAACAACGAGTAAAGTAATAAAACATTTCATGGTGCATCGAATAAAATTATTCGAGCAACTGTAAGCAAGGTACTGTTATTGGAAGTTGTACGGAATTAATTGAGAAACATGATCGTAAACGGGGGTTTATTTTTTGCCCGACTAGGAACGAGAATGTGGTTCCATCGAATAGCTAACATGCCCCACAATAGAACGGTATGCACGCATACCATACGGGAGAGACATGCGTGGACATCAGAGAGAATCGGGTCACCGAAATGGGAAGCAACGATCAGCCTATTTTCCAGATTCTGAACACATCTACACGTAACGCGTCGTCCACCTACTCGACACGTGAACGAGGAACGCGTAGAATGTTTGGCTCGTCTATGTTAACAAAATCATGCGCCCTCGAATGCATTTAACGAATAAAAATTTACAAGATTCTTCTGAAAAATTGTGTTACATTGTCCAGTGATTCGATAACAGAGATTAAAAGATATTCCAAAGGTTTCCTTTGAAAATTCCCTCCGCCGCATATTACATTCCCGTTAGAGGGATAATATTGAAAGCCAATTGCTGGCTTTGCGTTCAATAAAGGGTATTCTTTAAAAGATAAAAAACGAGAAATACTTAAAATCGTTCGATAACGCGGGTTAGACGGAATCGATGAACGGAAATTAAAGTCTGTCCAGAAACGATCAGATAAAAAACGATACACGAGCTTCGATCAGGACAACTCCGTCCGTTGTTCAACTTACTTTTTTCTCTTCTATCATCTGCATAGTTTTTGTCGTTGTTCCATTGGAAACGATGTTGAACAATTTATAGAAAGAATCCTTTCGAATCGGACAATCTGTCCATCCTCGTAGAATGCGTTAAAAAGAAACGAATTTGTTCGTCCCTCTTAATGGACCGCGAAAATACTTGTAATTAGTAAATTGTATAAATCTGTTGATATATCGTTGCATGTACAAGATAATTCACGGAAAGACGACGCGGAATCCCATAAAACGCGATCTAGTTTTCGAGTTTCTCGCGAAATTTGCGCGACAATTTACGCGAAAGCGAATAAACATCGCTGGTTGGCGGTCGTTAAACGAGCTTGGATAACGCTAAAATATCGCGGTACCGTTTGTTAACAACGCGTATTTCGCGGCTCTGACGTGGGCTACACACGCGCCGCTTACAGTACGTTCTCATTTTTATCGGGCAATTTCGTGGGGGAAAAAGCTCTTCAGAATTTGAACCCGGTAGCCGAGGGTATCGATGCCCCGCGTGTACGCCATCGACTCGTCGGCCGTTTTACGAGCGGTGTAAAACGAGGGTACACCTTGCCGTAAAAATATTTACCGCGTCCACCTTTCTCGGAATATCGAAGGGTCTTTTTTAATATTTCACAAGATGCCTGCATCATGCTATGCGGCTGGGTTTAACAACATCTTGCCCTCCATATTTTGCAAGTCGAACAGCGAACCCCCATTATTTGTTTTTATTCTTATTTTTATATTCAAAAATTTCTTCCAGATCAACGGATAGTTTTCGATCGACGAATTTTAGTTGGGAAAAAAAGAGGGAGAAACGGTCCCTACGAGACCTGGATGAGAAACTTTTTACGAATTTCGAACTGGATGTCCCCTGTCCCGAATGCTCGATCATGCAACGACGCTTGGAAACGCTTCGATCGCGGCTTTCGAATTTAATGGGCGAATCGTTTCCTGCAGGATCGCGCGATTAGTCCGCTCCATTAGAGCGTCAGCGATTAACACCGCCCGAGCGACCCTGGAAAATCGTGATTCAACGAGAAGAATCGTCCTCATCTCGAAACGCGGATTCAGCCGCGATTTTCAGAAGGAAAAAAAAAATAGAAATATCGTGTTCCAGGGGATATTCGTACCTTCGCAACGTTCGATGAAAGTAGAGCTCGCGATTTTATAATATTACACATTTCAACTGAAAGCCAAAAGGCTGTGAATTCATTTAAAATTTCGTTTTCAATTGCAGTCACAATGAGATTGTAATTAAAATGGAAAAATAATTTCATTTCGAATACGTTCCGCGGATGTAATATTTCAAATTGCAATTTGCTTTTTAGGACTGAATTTCAACAGAACTGATTTGAAACTTCCTGTAAATTGCATTTCGTTGTAAGCGTCCCACGGATCAGAGAAATTTAAAAGCGACGAGACGAGGAATTATCTTTCGTTACGCGTACGCTCGCTAACGATACTCGTTATTACGAAAACAAACAACGTTCGCTGCTTTCTTACGACTCGTGAATCCGAAGACGGTTTCGATAACGGTCACTCTAATTCAGACCTCTTTACCATTCGAATAGCTTTCACTTTGGTCTTCCGCGTCTAACGAGCAAACTGTTACGTTGCATTCTTCGATAAAATTGAATTTATTCATTTTCTATAAAATTTAAGAAAAATAATGTTTTTCTACACCTTCCAGTGTTTGTTTTGTATTAGGTCGTCCCATAAGTTCGTGCCGACTTTTGTATGTATACATTTCACGCCTCGATTTATAAACACAAGGCGATAAGAAACCAATGCACTTCAGTTTATTTGTTTGAGGGCAGTCTAAAAGAGATTTTCGTGGGTATGGGATCGTGAAATAGTGAATGCATTGATTTTTAACAGTTAAAAATGATGAGTGAAATTCGTATTCATTTCCGACATCTAATGTTATATGAATTTCGAAAAGGAAGTTCGGTAACAATTGCGACAAACAATAGTATATGTGCTGTTTGCGGAGAAACTGCTCTTTCATCTCGTAACTGTAGAAAATGGTTTACACGTTTTTAAGATGAGAATTTTTGTTTAGAAGATGAGGAACGTTCTGGGCGTCTTTCTCAGACACACGAAGACAAAATTCAAGATCTTGTAGAGAAATCACTTAATTTATCAGTTCGTGAGATGTCAAATATTCTAGAAATACCAAAAACAACTATTTATACACATTTAAAGACATTAACATATGGAACCGTTCAAAAAACGGCACTAACTTATGGGATGACCTAATATATATGGATTTTAGCGATTATAGAAAGAGTTAAATAAGTTCCCGGCACACTGAAGAGAAAGAAATTGCAAAACGGCCCCACGCGGTGTGTAACGCGTCAAAAATAAGTTGACGATGGATTTCTATGGTTTATTCACCAGTTGCTTTAGAGCCGTACACGAGCGGCGCGTACCCACGCTTACCTCCGTTCGCGTAAATACGTCCGTCAATCTTTTCAGCCTCGATTCGCGTCATTGTACCAAGAGTAAACGATCTTGACGTTTGCTAATACCAATTTCCCGCTTACGAGACGTGAAAAATCGTTGTTTACAAAAGTTGAACGATATCTAGGTACCAATAATAATTTTATATCACATTCATAAGAAATATATGTATATTGTAAGAGCGATAATTTGTTGGATTTCTTTTTCAAGCATCGCGTTTAATGACTCGAGTAAATCATCGGATCGTGATGCATAACCAAATTATCTGTAACGGGAATGCTCGAACGACATTGAGAATCAATTCCACCCTGTTTTCTTTGAGTTCACGCGTACCTTTCCGCCGTATTACTTCGCTTGATTAACGTGTTTACGCGGTGAAGCAATAAGAAGAAAAGAGCCGATAGAGAGTTATGAAAAACCAGTTGGGTCTTTTCGACTTTGAACCACAGCAAAGCAAAGCAATTTAAACTGTACCACCGGGAAAAGTTAATTTTCAACTTCCTCGTTGGAGAGACGTTAAGGAAAGTCGAGATCAAAGGATTTACTTTTGGCGACAAATTTGTTATCGTTTACCTGAGGTTGTCAATCAGATGAATTAATGACATACTTTAAAGTTATAATCTAAAGAGAAATTATGAAAATCCTTTGCTCTGCGAGAGTCGAAATTTTTGAAATGAAATGTTATCAAAAATTGACGCGGAATTTAAATATTGATTCACGGATGGTGAATTATACGAAGGGATCTAATGAAGCACGTTCGGGTCGTTGTATTCCCGGCACGGGCCATTGAGATTGTTTGCAAAGGCACCACAAGCATCGCATACTGCTAATAAAGACAATAACGAGGATCAGAATCACCGTTACTCACCATGCATTAACCGCTTGCTACACTTTGCGTTACATTTATCGTGGAGAACTCGTTTAATTCTTTGCCTCGTGAACCAATCACGTGACGCGCGGACCGATCACGTGACCCATCGTTCCAGTTTCGAACGTGGAATGGGTGAACATCGGACCGCGAGAAAACGGATTTTTCTTACATCCTAACCGGATGAATTATACCGAGCTGCATCTGCCTTTCGAATCACAGATGCATCGAAAACGTGTTTAACTGTTCGATGCATTCGAGGCGAACGTCTCTGCAACGATAACACGATGCTCTTTTTTACATTTCGATTGTTAAGATTATATGTTCCGTCGCGCGAAAAATGAGGAACGCGGAACAGCGAACTCTGGCTGCAGGCTTGTCGAAGCGTGAGAAAATGTAACGAAATATCCACGAGTTTCCAAAATTATGAATGATAGCCTCGAATGCAATGTCACGACGAGATATCGTTTATGTTTCAAGGATAAACGAATTTGATAAACAACGAACGAACGCATAGCAGTGTTATCGTTTTAACTTATTTTTTGCGCGGGGTAGCGTCGCCAGCGTCGAATACCGCGCACATGGCGACCAAGACCACATCAACGAAAATACATCCAGATTATAACCATGAATAAATTGCACGTACCTTGGTGTCGCGCGACGTGTGGTAGTAGTAAACAAAGGCGAACATCCACGCGCATGACAGGAGCAACACAATTTTCACATTTCGCCGCATCTCTGCCAGTGTAGCTTGCCAGTCTCGCCCCTCGACCGATCGTCCCTTCGATATTTCTCGTGTCCACGTTTCACGGGATGTCCTTCGTTCGAGGAAAACGGGGCACGCACACTCGTGACCGACAACACACCGTACCAACACCGTAAGTCACCATTAACGCGAACCGACCGGCAGCCGAAGCCATACTGTTCGGCTCCGAGGTGTACGGCGGCTATGCGGACGCTCTGAACGCGCGCACGTTTGAGAATCCCCTCCCCAGGTGGCGACACCCGTACGCTTGCGACGCCCACTGAACGCGTTGGCGCGAATATTTGAAACGTCTAAACGAACAGCAGCGCATCGTACACGGCTTTCATGCTGACCTCTCGTCGCGACGCATCGTAACTGCTTCGGGCAATTTTGTTGTATGGATAAAACGTGACACGACTAAACGTTATCTCGACGTAGTACTTCATTAAAGACTGGAAACAACATTGTTTGACTTATATTACAAGAAGGTTTTGATTTCATAAAAGATTGAATAAGGGGGAAAAAATTGTAAATAAAGCTGATGTGTATCATAAATCATATCCTGCAGCGTTTTGCTTTATATAAATTTATAATATTTGCACATATTTGTTATCCTTTGTTAGCGTTGTTGTTTTAGGACTGTTAGCGGAGCAATAATTCTTGCGCGCTCGTGTGCCATACGATTCTATTTGTTACGTGCATTAAAATTTATTTTACTAATAGTTTAACAAAATATATGTATCTTATATTTCAGAATTACGCTGAAATTTTTCATGACTATTGTACACAATTGTATGTATATTTCTGAAAGTTATCATGTTGTAAAATAAAATCATATTAAGAACGATTCACTGTATACTTCCTATAGAATTAATACTGAATAATTAACACCATAAAACATCCTTATATTTTCCTGTGGAATAAAATTTTTCCACAAATTTCTTCAACGAATAAACCACACTTTGTGTATCGTAATTAGCGTAACCGATATATGGGTGGACCTCGATAAGTCCATCGAAATACGCCTACCTTCGATCAAAGATACGCCCGTCAACCGAACATCCGATGCAGTCAACGACGAGCACCCTGCTGAAAAGGGTCACTTGCAGCATCCGGCAGGAGATGCAACAGTAAAATTGACTTCGTAGTGTTGTTGCGATGGGTATTAAATCGCAATGGTTTCTGTTCACTTTGTTGGGAACATGTGCGGCTTGGATGAACGAAAGGTCAGACACCATCCCTAATTGATTCGCGAAGAGAGAAAAAAAAAAAATTTATCTAACATTCAATTAACGTGATTTTTAAGACCCGTGCTGGAGTCGATAGATGGAAACCTAATCATCTCCGCGGCGAAAGACAGGAACATCACCCTGAAGATTCTTGGAGGTGGTTACGTGAACGTGAACGAAATTAATCTACTTCACGTCGCAACCTCGGTACCAAATTGCTTGCCAGAAGATGTAATAAAGGGATCGCTTAAACCGATGGTATAATCGGCTTTTCTTTCAGGCGCAAAGCGCGACGCACTTGATCGAAAGATGGAAAACAGGATACATGGCTGAGGTGGAATCGAACCTGCAGCGATTGATGCAGATCGTGGAGGGACCGGATGGTTTGGAGAGAAGAATAGCTCTGCTGGGGGGATTCGCAACGGGTGCCACCCCCCGCAATCAGGTAAGTGTCATCGAGAAAAGGAGCAGCTAGGCGAACCGTCGTTTTTCCATAGAATCGAAGGCTACTGACGATGATTGAATTTATTGCAGACTTCTACAGGAGTTCCCATTAAGATTCGTATGCTGGCGAACCGAGTACGTATGATTCGAAACGTTAACACACGGATCGGACAGATATTTAAAGGAATTTTCTTAGGTACGACTAGTGGAGGACAAAGTGAAATCGATAGAGCTTAAGCTAAAGGAGAACGAGTGCAGTAGCAATCCTTGTCTGAATGGCGGCACGTGTCAGGATCTTTACGAAGGATATCAGTGCCACTGTCCGTCTAATTGGGAGGTGATTCTGAAAACTCTGCCGTTTAAGAATTTATCCTTAATAAATCAACAATATTTGATAAATATTTCAGGGATCAAACTGCATGGTCGATGTGAACGAATGCGTAAGATTGCTAGGTACCGATCTTGGTTGCCAGAATGGAGCTACTTGTATCAATCTTCCAGGATCGTACAGGTAACCCATGACAAAATTTTTCTTTCAACGTTTTTCTATCAACAAAATTTTCGTTCCGTTAGATGTGACTGTACGCCAGGATGGTACGGTATCCATTGCACGAAGAAGACTTCCGTATGCAACACCCAAAACTCCGACGAACTCTGCGGTCATGGTGTCTGCGTCAGCAAACCTGGTTCTCCCCTCGGTTACACTTGCATTTGTGACCAAGTAAATATCAGTGTATATTAATACTGTGTTTCAGAAAATTAATTATAAAAATTTCAGGGCTGGCAATCCGATGGTACCAACCCAGCCTGCATCAAGGACGTGGACGAGTGCGTTCAAAATCATCGACCATGTTCAGTGAATCCTTGGGTAGCCTGTCGCAACGCTCCAGGTACGTTCTTCTGCGACTCCTGTCCTCGTGGTTACACCGGAAACGGTTATTATTGCGCGGACATCGACGAGTGTCTGCAGGACAATGGTGGTTGCAGTACCTCCCCCTCGGTTCAATGCATCAACACAATGGTAATTAAAAATTTTCTCATTAAACAATTTTATTCTTACTCTATATGTTGCCGAAAAATTGAAACAGGGTTCGAGAATGTGTGGCCCATGTCCAACTGGGTACCGCGGAGACGGTGTGACCTGCGTGTACGTCGGCAGCTGTGCCATCAACAACGGTGGTTGTCATCCACTGGCCAGGTGTGTCGTAAATCCAGCACTTACAAGCAACTACGTGATATGTCGCTGTCCTGCCGGTATGACAGGCGATGGAATCGGTCGAAACGGGTGTCAATCATCGACGGATGTATCTGTTCACTCGGGTTGCATCAATAATCCCTGTGTACATGGCAGATGCGTTTCTCAAGTCAGTGGCTATGTCTGCCTGTGCGATCCTGGATACACTGGTAAGATTCAAAGATATAATATAGTATATTACCAATGGAAGCGTTTGTATTTCATTTCTTTTTTTCAGGTACAACATGCGACACTAAAATAGACCCATGCACGCCGAATCCTTGCAAGAACAACGGTGTCTGCGTGTCATCGAGCATCGGGATCAATTGTGATTGTCCTTCTCCGTTCACCGGCAGCAGATGCGAATTGCCGCGGCAATCTTGCGGCGGTGTATCCCGAAATCCCTTGGGACATCTCCAGTTCCCAATCGGTGGGAATGTTTATCAGCCCGGACTGAGCTGCGCCTGGGTCCTGGTCACCAACTACTCGCTTGTTTTGAACGTTACCTTCACTCGATTCAACCTGGAACAATCGACCGATTGCAAATACGATTTCCTGCAGGTGAAAAACACGTCTTCAAATTGTATCTCATACATTTAGCGAGTTGGAAAGTCGGAAAGTTTGATATCTATTTGAAACATTGGAACGATGTATTGCAGATACACGATGGTAGAAACGCTGGCAGCCAGATGATCGGCAGATTTTGCGGCAACACTTTGCCCCATGGAAATGGGAACATAGTGTCCTCCCATAACTCTCTGTACTTCTGGTTCCACTCGGACAACAGCATATCTCACGACGGATTCGCTTTGCATTGGAACAGTATCCAACCGATTTGCGGTGGTATACTCACGCAAGATTACGGGACTATCAGCTCTCCTGGCTCCCCAGGACGGTATCCACCAAACAGAGATTGCTATTGGAACATCCGGGTTAAACCGTCTAAGAGAATACAGATCCATTTTGGTCAGCTGATGCTGGAGGAACATCCAACGTGCGGGAACGACTATCTGGCGGTAAGGATACAATTAGCAATCCTCTTGTACCGAGAGAAATATGGGCGAATGGAATAACGGATCGTAACAAAATTTTGCACAGATAAGCACTATACACAAGGAAACATTAGGAATTTACTGCAATCACACTCATCCTCCCCCTATCGTGGTACCAGCTTCAGAAGCTGTGGTCTATTTCCATTCGGACAGTGCTGGCCAGGATGCTGGCTTCCAAATTCATTACTCCGCCATTGAAGGTGATTGAAATATGAAAAATCGATCAAGTTAAATAAGATTTAAAGAATTTCATACGTTAGAGAATAATATCTAAAGGTATAGCCCAAGAGTTAAGAAACACGTCTCTTAAACATTGCTCCTTCAGGCATACCCGGATGCAACGACGTGTACACCGCTCCTTCCGGTACCATTAGGAGCCCGGTAAACGCGGATCCATACATGGAAATGGACTGCGAATGGAAAATACAACTGCCCGTTAACGACCACGTGAAGATATCCTGGTCGAAGTTCGAGTTGCATGAATCCAGCGGTTGTAAAACGGAATTCGTCGAGGTACTACATTCATTTAACAGATTAATAATCCTACGTCTACTCTAACAATTAATATACTGAAATTATCTCAGATATTCAACGGCGACACCAGCGAATCTAGTCTGATAGGAAGATACTGTGGTTCCACCTTACCTCCAACCATCAGTTCCAGCTCAAACGTGGTGTTAATCGTCTTCAAATCCACAGCGACAGCTGGAAAAGGCGAATTCGCCTTATCCTACGATATTTATTGCGGTGGTACGTTCACCGAGGACACTGGGGTCCTGATATCACCGATGTACCCGAATCTCTACGATGGTAGCAGAATGTGTCAATACGTGATCCAACAACCACCCACGAAGAGGATAGCGTTGACCCTGATGGACGTTAATCTGAAAGGATACGTAACAGGTTGTACTTTGTCTATCCACGATGGGATCAATGAGAACGCTACTCGTCTCGACAAATTTGACGCAACTAAATCGAAACCGAGCACCGATCCGATCTATTCCACCTACAATTACATGTTCCTGAAATTCTGGTCCAGGACCTGCATCTCGGGAGGTCGTTTTATGGCCAATTACACGTCCATTCCAAACGGTACGTACATGTCTTCATCGATCAGAGAGAATAATCTTGGAATCGAATTGTAAATCCGTGCTCGATTTTCCAGAATGCGGAGGAGTGTACACAGCGAATAGCGGAACTATTCAAACCCCATCGAAAAATGGCAATTACGAAAACAACCAGGATTG